CGCCATTTCAGACGAGTACACACATTTATTCAAATCTAATTTTAACCCATTATTAAGCAACAAAGTATAAACTCCAATCTTGGAAACAGGTGAAGCCTTCCTATTCCCCATGATTAAGTTTATCTTCCCGTGCTCCACATCCTCACTTCTTCTTAGGCCCTGCAAATCAGAACATATGTGAATACCACATCCTGTATCAAGCACCCAAGAGTTAGAATATGTTGAGTAATTAGACAATATAGTGTAAATACCTGCATGGGTGGGTTTCACTTTCCCATCCTTTAGATCCTGCAAGTACTTAGGGCAGTTTCGCTTCCAGTGTGCCTTTTCATGGCAATAAAAGCATTCAGCATCCTTGGGAATGGCAGAAGGAGTGGCAGAACCTCTTGGTCTTTGATGAGGAGCCTTCAAGAGACTTTCCCTTGGTACCCTTCGAAGGGTGCTTCCTCTTCTTCCCTTTGCCTTGCCCAATAGCTAAAACAGGGGTAGATGTTGGAGTAGGAGTAGTAGAGAACAACCGCCTTACCCTTAAGACCGGATTCCACGGTCTTCAAGAGTCCTTGAAGCTTGCTGAGGGTAACTTCCTCCTTGTTCATATGATATGTCATTCGAAAATGATCATAACAAGAAGGCAAGGAGTGCAAAATGATGTCAATTGCCAACTCCTCAGGGATGTTAACATTCAGCTTCAGCAAACGGTCCACATACCTTTGCATCTTTTGCATGTGGCCCGTGACGGATTCACCGTCCTTCATGCGGGTAGTTATTATGGAGGAGATTATTTCATACCGCTCCTGACGAGCACTCTGATGGTACCTTTCCATCAGGTCTTGGTGCATCTCAAAAGGGTAGAAATCTTCATATGACTTTTGGAGCTCGGCTGTCATCGTGGCCATCATGATACATGCCACCTTAGTAGCATCTCTCTCATGAGTCCTGAATTCAGCGATCTCCTCAGGAGTAGCAGTAGACTCATCAAGTTCTTTTAACTCCTTATCGAGGACATATTCCTTGTCCTCATAACGAGTAACCATCCTGATGTTCCTAATCCAATCCATGAAGTTGGAACCATCAAAGATGACCCTCCCACAAAGATTCATGAGAGAGAAAGAACCAGTTGGGTTAGAGCCTGAAGCATTAGTGTTGGAAGACATCTGAAAGAAGAGAGTAAGTTTAGATTAGATATTTAGGATCCTTAATAAGACACCCAAATGTAATATTAAGGCTAGGATCCAATCACAATATATTACACTTAGAAGAGGGATGCCGTAATCTAAGTAATAATATATTTGAAAGGTAGGTGAATGACGATTCACCAATTTCCACCATGAAAACGAAATGATTTATTAGGTTTAATTGGATTTGAAATTCCTAGATTCTTTTGAGATTCATTGAACTTTTCAATGGCATGTTTCAATCTCGATTGTGCCCTTCAAGTTTTGTGACTGGGATGCCGAGGATCACAAAACAAGGTGTGAATAACCATGCTAATTCACTTGGTACCCTTAATATTATCACCTAATCAATGTGCCGGTTAACCACACACGCTCCATTGATCTATGACAAACATTAAGTCACCCTTCGTGATCCTTACTAGTCCTAGTTAGTGTGCCGGTTAACCACACACGCTCCACCAACGACTTGGTAAGGTACAAAGTGTGAATTCCATGGACTAGCACCATGTTCACATTTTTCCTAAAATAACTAAGATTGGGAATTAAAAGAGTTTAGTTACTTTATAATATTCATTATACTTTTAATGAGGATTTAAAGTCATTGTTCTACCCGTTCGGCTAACGACCCTCCACCGATCAAGCAAGCGGTGGGTGAGAGTATACACCCATTAAGTCGCCATTTTATAGGCAACAACCTTATACCCACCTTATAGACCGGCTTCGTGAATGAGGCCTACTAACGGTAAAACGACTTATTCTTATACATATATATATAATAATTAACCATTAATGTTATAAATAGTATAAGGGTTGAATTTTAACTATTAAAACTCTAAGGGTTGGAATTAAAGTTTATTAAAGTGTGTGAAACTTTACAAATTCCAAAACTTGAGGGCAAGTTTTGTAACTTTGCAAAACTCTTCATTTCATAACTTATGAATTAAAGGTTCATAAAAATGAAGACTCTTCATTTTCATGTAACTTATGTGTTTTAAGTGTGTGTTAAATAAGAGTGACCTTTGGAAATCCATAACTTGAGGACAAATTATGGACTCCATTAAAACACATAAATGATCAAGAATTAATCCTAAACAATTCAGCAAATAATTCCTATCATTTCTAAATTCATAAGAACATGAACATGATCATCAAAAATTCAAGAATTATATGAACACATAAAATCATGGAATTTTGATATATGCTATTGTAAATGGATTAGAACAACCATTACACCAACTAAAATAAGTTTTATAACACCAAAACAGTTTAGGGTAATGTTTCTAGTCCATTTCCAGCAGCAAAAGTCGAAAAACTGCACTCTTTCGATCCTACTCGTCGAGTGCATGAACTACTCGTCGAGTAGGTTGAAGTTTGCCTTGGACTCGTCGAGTCCCCCCAATGGACTCGGCGAGTCCACCATGCAGACAGCAACGATTTCGACTTTTTTCACTATTTTGCATCAAGTATCAAACAAGCAAGCCTAGGCTCTGATACCACTGTTGGGTTTTGAGCAATCTAACACTTCCTAAGTGTGCATGCAACCCTAATAAACCTTGGATCTATGTTTGTCTAAATACATGCAAAATAATAAATTTTCCAAGGTTTATAACCTATCTAACATGGCATGGGGAACATTTCAACATAAAAGAGTTAGAAGAGATTACATACCTTTTGGTGAGTTTGGTTCTAAGGAGTTTGAGGGCCAAGCACCAATAGTGTGAATGCCTCAAATGGAATCACAAAACACCACAAACTCTTGGAAAACTTTGAGAGAGTATACACCTTGTATAAAATCGGCCACACACAGCACACACACACTAGTTCACTAGTTTCCTCTTAGGCTCCATTTCATGCTCCATAAGCATGCTTATATAGTGTGCATGGTTAGGGTGAAACCCTAATAACCCATGTCTTTTCCTTTCCAAGGATCCATGGGTTAAAAGCTCCATGGATCATCCATGGACTTCCACATAAGCCTAGCCCATTAACAAATGAGTATTAGCCCACACTATATAAAACAAATAGCCCATAATCTAATTAGTCTTCCTTTTAATCTCTAAATTAATTCATAATTAATTTAAGACTAAAACTAATTAAATAACGTAACTTCATATTAATATATTATAACTCATAATATATTAATAAACATATGTGTATAACTCTCATAAAATTATCCATAATAGTTTGGATGAGATGCAACCCAAATGGACCATGCCGGTCAGGTCAAGTATATACCAAATAAGTTATGGACTTAGACACCTTATCCAACAACAATATTAGCATTAGCCCTTGAATTAGTGGATTGGGCTAAAAAATAATGGGCTAACTTAATACAACTAGTATAAAATGTAACAACTCGATTTCCAGGTATTTACCTTAACCCCCTTAGTATGAAAATCGGAAAGGTTTCAAATGGACTTAGCAACCCAAGGCGGAGACGCGAGAGCACTACCCTGAGTTATTCGCAACATCGGAATTCGAGGGAGAATTCTGATTCAAGTGGGGCAAAATTGTAACAACTAGACATCAAGTATTTTCCTTATTGACCCAAAAGTATAATTATGTTGCATTTTGGTCCTTACGCCAAACGTACTTGGGGCGCACGCTTGACATAGCTCATTAAAGAGGGTTGCATGTGCATGTGAGTACGTTGGGCGTACTCATGAGTATGTTGGGCGTATTTGGCAGGTGAGCAAACCCTAATTTTTAGGGTTGAGCACTATTTTAAACATCCTTATCCTCAAAACCCTTTCCTCCATCAACTTCCATCTCCCAAAAGTGTCCCTTTAAACCCTAGTTATTTAGTGTGTGATTTTGAGCTTGAAAAGATTGTGTTCTTGTGCTTGTGAAGGAGGAAGAAGGTGGTAGATTATCTTGGAAGCTCAATACAACTTAGATCCAAAAGTATCTCACCCTCAAGCATCCCTTGAAGGTATAAAGCTTGGAACTTGATGAATGTTTTCCTTGGATCTTGGTACTTCTTAAGTTTTTATGCATTTTGGTCCCATAATCTTGGTATTCATGAGTATGGCTTACTCTAAACCATACGAGTTGTCCTTTCAGACGTTTTAAGTGATAGGAAATATAAAAATATGATCTTGGTCCCTTTCTTCCCTCCATGCAAGAGTTATGATGCTTGGTTTGTGTATTAAGTTAGGGTTTTTGGTTTTTGGACTCCTTCTAGCCATAAGAAGTCATAAAGTTGGAAATTTTATGAATTAGAATGATATTTAGGACTATATTTGAGCTTTGGATGTGAGATCTTAATGAAATAATCCAGCCAGAAGGCTGTGGACCCGAGGGTAATCCAATCTGATGACTGTGGGTTGGGGGTAATCCAGCCCGATGTTGTGGACACGAGGGTAATCTAGTCTGATGACTATGGACCCAACATGCATATTTGTATATGTTTTGTTGTCTGTTGTATTTTGGGAGATCTCACTAAGCTTTGGTTTACAGTTTAAGTGTTATGTTTCAGATAATTCAGAGGATTGAGACATGACGAAGATGTGATCGTACACATCCTTCAGTATGTTTGGAGATTTTATGATACTTTGATTTTGAGATATTTGTATTTGAATGTTTGGTTTTTATGACTTAGGTTTGATAGAAACAATGATTTTTACTTAGAATGAAAAATAAAAATTTTATCTTGATTTTTAAGATGTTATAATATCGTAACGAACGAATACAAACATAAATTTTGTTCATTTGTTTTTTCATGTTCGGTCGTTTGTTTGGTTAAAATTATACCAACAAACATCTATTCGTTTTCGTTTGGTTCTTTATATGTCTGAAATGATTAAAGGTTCAAAAGTGTTCAAACGAACATTGATCTAAGTTGTAACTTGGGAGTAGAGTTATCCAACTTAAGAGTAAGCTTTAGAGCGTTGTAAACAGAAATCAAAATATCAAATATCCCACCACTTAAATGTAAATCATCGAAAATATTAAGCAGCGTGAGTTGTCATCATCACCGACGCTTCTTCCGTTGTTCTGCTAATACCACCAGCGTTCTGCTTTTTCTTTTTTTAATCGACCACACGCACACTCCCACAAAACCCTTGCCGGTGTTCTGTCTGCCCAATCAATCCATCCATCTCTTCAACTCTCCATTTGCTCGATTCACCGCCATATCTATACCAATATTCTAAAAATCTGCATTGATTCCCAACAAGATATGTGCGTTGTCAATCGCCGCAGAATCAGCAAGTGATTGAGAGAGATGCCTAGGCTAGCTGCCGGAAAGCAAAGGAAATCGGCCAAGATCCTCTTCATATGCGTTGGCCTTCTGGAGTAGCCCTTATTGCAGATCTACTCTGGGCGTCTTCTACATCTTCCTCTGCACGATCTTTCACTTACAAACCCGCTTTTGATTGGCCCCCGCCTAAAACGTCTTCCGACTCCTTTCCCCTCCCTGTTTCTTCCAATCACTCTGCCAAGGTATCTTCTTCATACTTCCTTGTCTGCATTTGTGACCTACTGTGGTTATAAAAACTAGAAGATACTGCTGTGATTATTAGAATAGAAAGATGGATCTGTTATTCATATAAACGGGTAACTAATCATGCTTACAACTTACAACTAACCAATCTACTGTTAAAGAAGCTTGAAACAAGTTTCCTTGATACTGTAATTTGAAGTCTCTTTTTACATACGATTGAACTTGTGAGAGTCAAGTGCCTGAATGATTCTATTGTGATTTAGAATTGTTTGTTGCTTCAATGATAACTACTTCATTCATTCAACAAGCAGCCTTCTGTCTCCATGTCTAATTACATTCTCAAAACCTATAACAAACTTGAGATGATAGTAGGGCATTTGATCTTTTTATATACGTGTTTCATCCTTTTAAGATCTGCTATCTAATCAATGTTAGTTCCTTATATGTATTCCACTTCAAATCTTTTGTCTTTCCACAATCATTAAGATGATCAAGCCATTCCAGCCGTGTTATATTAGCTTCTCTTCAATCATGGTCCACAAAAACATCTTAAGATTCTCATTTATATTCTCTGCACATTCAAACCAGCAATTGTACATTCACTACTTTCATGTCTTTTGAAGGTCCCATTCTCTACCACATAAATCATTATTTGTTTGTTTATCATTTATGTGATGTGGTGCTATAATATGTAATTTCAAGTTGTAATGAATACCCAAATTTTCTACAACAGGTCATAGCAGATAAAGATAAAAAAGATGAACTTCATGGAAGAATTCTATCTAAAACTTTTGCTGATTTACCTGGACCAGAACTAAAATGGGAGAAGATGTCAGAAGCACCAGTCCCCCGTCTTGATGGAGCAGCAATACAGATCAAAGATGAACTCTTTGTTTTTGCAGGATATGGAACTATTGATCTTGTAAGAACCTGATCTTTCACAATCTTCTGCAATCAAACATGTAAACAAAAGCTAAAGTTTTATTCTTTTATTCATTCTTGGCACTTGGTAGGTGCATTCTCATGTTGATATATACAATTTCACAAGCAACACATGGGGAGGAAGATTTGATATGCCAAAAGAAATGGCACATTCACATCTGGGAATGGTGACAGATGGAAGATATATTTACATAGTGACTGGACAATATGGCCCACAATGTAGAGGGCCCACAGCACATACATTTGTCCTTGACACCAAGACCAAAAAATGGGAAGACATGCCACCTTTACCTGTCCCTAGGTATGCTCCTGCAACTCAGCTTTGGAGAGGTAGACTCCATGTGATGGGTGGTAGCAAAGAAGATAGATATACACCAGGTGTAGATCATTGGAGCATTGCTGTGAAAGATGGAAAAGTTTTGGAGAAAGATGGAGAATTGAAATGCCTATACCTCGTGGGGGCCCACATAGGGCTTGTATTGTGGTTGATGACAGGCTGTATACCATTGGTGGTCAAGAAGGCGACTTTATGGCTAAACCAAATTCGCCTATATTCAAATGTTCTAGAAGGAATGAGGTATTATTCAATTCGCCTATCTTCTTATTTTAATACTTGTGTCGTGTACTAACTACATTGATGAATTTTGTATAATTAATGAATACAGGTTGTGTATAGTGATGTGTACATGTTGGATGATGAGATGAAGTGGAAAGTTTTGCCTCCAATGCCAAAACCTGATTCCCATATAGAGTTTGCTTGGGCAGTTGTGAACAATTCCATTGTTATTGCTGGTGGCACTACAGACAAACACCCTGTAACCAAGAAAATGATCCTCAATAATGAAATTTTCAGTTTCAGTTGGATACATTGGTAAGCTGTCTTTTTTGTAATGTTTGGAATTTGGATATTAAATTATCTGATTGTATCTCTTAATGTATATGAATTTAAGAATGTTTGTTTTTGTAGAAATGGTCAGTGGTTGGGAAGCTTCCTTTTCGTGTGAAAACAACATTGGTGGGATTCTGGGATGGATGGTTGTATTTTACATCAGGACAAAGAGATAGAGGAGTGGATGATCCTACACCCAAAAAGGTCATTGGAGAGATGTGGAGAACAAAAACTCAGATTGTTATGACATTTTTATTTCATTCTTTCAGGTTAGTAGTAAATTATGAAATGTGAATGTGCATCTACAATTCTACTTACATTATGTATACAAGTTATAGCCCTTCTTCTTGTGTTTGTAGTTTAAATTTTGTCTAATTTGTTACTTATACGAAACTCCTCTTTTTAAGATAATTTGCAAGTCGAATTAACATGGAAAAAAAGCATATTGAATGTTGGAAGAGATGATGTAATTGCATTGTGAACTCTTACATCATTAATTTTGTTTTCATGTTTTAGTTTCAACATGTGGCATGGGTTTAAAATTTAAATCTCATGCATGCATAAAATCCTTTAACTTCAATTTTGGATGTGTCTGGGTATGAATTCTAGACCTTCTTTATGGTATTGCACATGATATTGATAAACACAAAAACTTTTAAGTGTTTTTGCTCGTAAGAATTAATCTCAAAAGAGATGAACGTCATAAGATCGAGAAACTTGAAAGTGTTATCTGAGTCTCACCATAGTTGATTCCAAGAAGAGAGAGTTCATGAGCCATGTATCATAAATTCATAATAAGGGAAGATAAGTTGAAGTACAAGTGGAAACAAAATGGGGCCCTAAGTGGAAGTTGTATAGATACATGAACACATTCAAAGGGCAGCCTAAATTTATGAAACGTTGAAAAGAAAGGTAAAGACTACGGTTTTGAATTTATGAAATGTTTTCCAATACT